CACCCGATACGTCGCGCGCCTCGCCATGGCCACCGCTGTCTGCAATGTCGGCGTCGAGGTCGTCGAGACAGCGGTGGCCATGGCGAGGCGCGCAACGTATCGGGTGCCCAAGAAAGAGACCTTTGAAGTTTCAAATGACTGGCCCGGACGAGTGCGGTGAAGTGTGCGTGAGCACTACCACGCGCGAGGACGAGGTTGGTGAACCCAGTCGTCGTGTCGAGATACGTGTTGGTAACGTTTCGGCCCGCCTGATGTAGCGTCTCCCAAAGCTCGAGGATGCGCGCCGAGAGGTCGCTGTTCGCGACGACCTGCGCGAGCTCGTCGTACATGCAGAGAGCCTGCAACACGATTATGAGCGCATCGCTCGTCGTCGCAGGCAGCTCGTTGAGAGCACCTCCAACGTGCTATAGCTATAACTGTCACACTTGTTAATCTATAACTGTCACTCTTGTTCATCTATACCTGTCACGTTTGTTGTACGGGTTTTCGCTCTGCGTCGCCATCTTCCATGGCCTTGAAGTTGTTGTCTATGACGCTCGCCTCGTCACTGTTGTCAAACATGCAGAACACCGTAAGGCGGATCGTGAGCACCGGTGAACTACGGATTCCACCGGTCGTGCTTGGTGTGGCAACTACGTAGACCGTAGCATTCGCATGCGACACGAGACCGCAGCGATCCTTATCGCCAACAAGCGCTTATCTTGTGGACCAAAGCCCTGTATTACACGGACGCGTGTCGAAACAAGGGCCTCGACGACACCATTTTCACCGGCCACAGTCGACAGGACGCCCGCTGGCGACCGCCCTCCGATGCGACGCGGTGCCGTGCGACCGAGGCACTGGAGCGCAAATTGCATGGTGAGCAATGCTTGAGGTTTCTCCGATTCTCGTGGAAAAGCAATCCGTGTCGCCTTTGTCGAGCCTGTTTTTACACTTGCGCCGAAATGGGACCTTTTGCGAGTGCCACACATTTTTCACGTATAATACATGCATTTATCACACTGTGAATATCTCTGTTGGCGAGGACGCACAGTAGTTCCGGTGAGTAAATACAAAGACACACGTTCCACACATGTGGTATTTGACGACGACATCAAGCCACTGCCAGATTTTGTGAGGCTTGTGTGTCCCAGACCTCACAAACCTCTTCTACTACTTTTAAAGCGACACTAATTCCCTCCACGTACATGGTGTAATGTGAGGAGGTTACCAGATCATGGCACCAATCACATAGTTTGGAGGGATTTCGAAGGCTAGATGAAAAACAATTGCAATTTAAAACATTTTACACTCATTTCAAGCACGACATCGCAAGCACTTTAGATGTACGCATCGCTGCCAGAGCTGAAATTGGACACGTAAAGGTGCGGCAGTCGTGCGTACGCCGCTCGAAGGCTAGATGAAAACAATTGCAATTTAAAACATTTTTTACACTCATTTCAAGCACGACATCGCAAGCACTTTAGATGTACGCATCGCTGCCAGAGTGACGGCGTGCCGTTGGTCGACGTCTTCTTGCGCTGCCAAATGACGTTGGAATTGTCCTTGAAGACGGGCGGCGGCGTCACTTCGGCCGCGTCGTCGAGCTGGTAGAGACAGCCCGAGAGCACGGACGACGCCAGCAGCAGAATGTACATGAGGAACTGCTCAATGTATAGCACTGGGCGAAGAACTATTTGAAAATAAATTCCCTTTCCAAGTGCAAAATGGAGATCGAAATAGCACCCCCCACTTGAGCTGGAGCACGCGGCGCATGACGACATGCTGGAGGCAGTGTTGCTTGACGCCCTGCTCGGCCTCGTCGTCGCCTTCGAGGTTGAGAATCGAGTAGAGAGCGCTTTGCTGGATCGTTTCCCGGCCGTAAATGCGATCCAGCTACAGGTAGTACTTTATAAAGAAATGCGCCCACGAGCCCGCCACGTACGTCGCGAAACTCGAGGCTGTTGTTGTTGAAGTGGGTCGTCTACTCGAGGCTGTAGCGACCGCTCTCGACGACAAAGGCGTTGAGGATCTCCTTGCCGAGCTTGGGGTCGCACTCGATCGCGCCTAGACGCATCGCCCATTCGCTTATCCCGTACACGGAGTACAATGCGACAACCTTTGAACATGAGCTCGTTGAAGCGCAGCTCGGTCGCGTTCTTTTCTAGAATGAGCTTGACGAACACGGCCTTGTCCTTGGCGACCATGAACGCGGTCTTGCCGCCCTTGTCCGTGCCGGCGATCTGCGCGTTGCGCTCCAGAAGCAGCTGGATCATGGCCGTGTGGCCTAAGGAGGCTGCGTACATGAGCGCCGACCAGCCGTCCTGCATGTTCGCATCGCCTTTTTTCTTTTCTCCAAAGAGTGGAGTACCTCGTCGCACTCGTCGGGGTCGGCGTCCGTATCGAGCACCAGCGCCGCCTTGGCCACGTCGCCTGCGCAGAGGTCATCGTTCGACTCGGTTTGCCTCGAGAGGGGATACCGCAGCGAGCGTGGTACAGAAGCGGGTAGTGCTCGCGGAACGCCATTTCCTTCTCGAGGAGCGCGCGGCAGACCTTGTGGTTGTTGTCGGTCGCGTAGAAGAGTGCGTTGGACCCGTCCTAGGTATGAATTCGCACACTCAAGTACACAACGCCACGGCACCGTCTCTTCCGCGTTGAGGTTGGCGTTGCGGTCGAGGAGCAGCTTGGTCATGTCGGCATGACCGTACTGCGCCGCGAGCATCAGCAGCGTCGTTCCGTGCTAAGAAATGCCATAGTTGTATCAAGTGGATACGAAAACATCGTAGTACCGGGTTGCGCTGCTCAATGTCCATGGTCGGGTTCTGCGTGAGAATGTCTCGGAACGTCGATAGGTCGCCCGACTTGACGACGCGGTAGAGCATTTCGCGCTCAAGCAAGTGCCGGCAGTCGCCCACGGCCATGGCCAGCGCGTCGATGCCGTTCTACAATTCTCTTAATCAGTACAGAAAGGAATCGGGACGGTACGTTGTCGCAGGCGTCGACGGCCACTTGGAGACTCAGGAGATACTCGACAATGGCCACTTGGTTGGAGCCCGCGGCGTACATGAGCGCGGTTTTCCCGAGCTAGACACCATGTACTTGTTTAGACGAATTGGTTCGACCGAATGTACCTCGTCGCGGTCTTCGATGTCCACGTGCTGGCGCACGAGCTGCTGGAGTGGCTTGAGCTGGCCAACTTTGGCAAAGTACAGCAACGGGTGACGCTCGCGCATGTCGAGGAGCGACCGGCAGCTCATGTGGTTCTTCTCGGTCGCGAGGTCGAGCGCCGTCTTGCCGTCCTCGCCTCCTCCCTTGAAACGTTGATACTTTATAAAAAAGACAGTACGTGGTTGCGCAGCGTGAAATTGGAGTGGAACTGCAGCAAGAGCTGCAAAATACTCAAGTAGCCTTGCGTCGCGGCCACCATGAGCGACGTCAAACCGCCCTGCGCGTCTTCTCAGAAAGTTCGAGGCAGAGACAACGCACCGTGTTGAACGTGGCGTCGACCGGCGCCTTGTGCTGGAGCAAAAGCAGCACCACATCGTGGTACCCCTTGCGCGTCGCGACCAGAAGCGCCGTCGAGCCGTTCTAGGTCCACTGGATCATGAAAACACTGGAAAAGATTGCGTGTCGCACCGAGGCGACCGCCTGGACGCGCGCGCCTTTCCCAAGGAGGAGCTTGACGCACTCGTAGTGGCCCATCGCGGACGCGTACATGAGCGCAGACCAGCCGTCGTCGTTGTACGCCTCGAGCTCCGTATCGAACTGCAGGAGCACGCGGAGCACCTCGACGTGGCCGTTGATGCAGGCGGCCAGGAGAGGCGTGCTGCGTGCCTAGTAACACTGTAACATATTCTGTCTGGCATATCGAATGGCGCGTACGTAGTTGAAGACGGTCGAGCGCGCGTTGGCCTGGAGGAGGAGTGTCACGATGCGCGTGTTGCCGTTCTCGGTCGCGTAGTGCAGCGCCGTGTTGCCCATCTGGAAAAAATTGCATGTCAATAAATCCCGCCAAAATGAGGATCGAAGCGCCGACCTCGTCGGTGGCCTTCGTGTTGGCGTGGTGCTCGAGCAGCGTCTCGACGAGCTGCGACTGGCCGTGCTGCGCCGCGTACACCAGCGCGGTCTTGCCGTCCTAATATCATGATACTTCGCATGTTGAAGTCGCTGCACATGGAGCGTACGGGAAGAGGGCCTCGAGGTTGGCGTGGTGGCTGGCGAGGAGGGCGACCGTCGTCGCCGAGCCCTTTTGCGTTGCGCGCAACAGCGCCGAGAGCCGATCCTACCGACTTCATGAGCCGCTAAAACGAACAGGACGCTGTACATCGCGCACGCCCTCAGTGGACGCTTGGTGGTCGAGGAGGACGCGGACGACATGGTCGTGGCCGTTGGCCGCCGCCTGCACCAGTGGCGTGTCGCCCGTCTACATGCCGATACAGTGACGCGGCTGCTGCTGCCAGGATGACGACTACCTCGTCCGTGGCGTCAACGAGCGCGCCCTGCGCGAGCCGGCGCTGGATCTCGAGCACGTTGCCGCGCCGCGCCAGGAGGTTCAGGCTGCTCATTCGTTCGTCGTCGTCAAAGCGCTTGTGGGCCATCTGGTTCCAAGGCGCTTGCGGCTATCATCCTTGCGCGATCCCACTCTTGTTGCAGTGTCAATGGCCACCTGGCAGCCTGACGATCGTGTACGGCACGTACGTTCAATGTACATTAAACGTACGCTCATCGTACATTGAGCGTACGGCTAGCCATTGACGCTGCCGATTGGTTGAAAAGAATGATATATGGCCAATGGACATGCGCAAGCTCCAGAGCGTGGACCACCACGACCGAATTGGTGCTTGCAAATGTACCCTTGTCAAGAGTATGAACCGCCGCCAGGGCAACAAGCACGCTGCAAGCTCCGACATTTTCGGTCGACATGCTATCGTTCTGCGTTAAGTTCAGCGTTGTTTTTTGTGGGATTCCCACGTGGCAGCGTAACAGCGAGGCGTTTCAAGCTGAAACCGGACGGATGTGGGCGGCGCTTGCGGCGGCTGCCATCAGCTGCGTAGGTGCGGTGGCTCCTGCTCTTAACGTGAGCTGTATCGAGCTGCACTAGGAGCATTGACCCCAGGCCGCATTCAATTTAGCCCGACGACGTACGCAGCCACCAACCAATGGGGCTCGGTCGTCCTCGTTCGTGAGTTTGATGCGTCGACAATACGTTCTTACGTGGCAACTAGTCCAACGCGCCTTGGGCTCGGACGGGCCCGCATCCGTTCTGCTCAACGCGCAGAATGGCTCGGCCGTCGCGGGTGTCGACTTTGCACCGATCGTCAACCTCTCGGTCGCGTGGGCGGCCGGCAGCTGGGCGCCGATTCAATTCCCGATCGCGTTCCTCCCGCGCGTTCTCTTGCACGACGTTTCTTTTACCATTACCATGAGCCCGGGCGATGCCATGACGCAGATTCACCCGAGCATGGCGACCGCAGTCGTCACCATCCAATCCGTGAACTGTACTTTGGAGCTGACTTTTACCGCACCATATTTTATATATCCGTCTAGTGGACCTTGGCGATCTCGCGTTCTCAGCGCCGACCATCAACATTTCCGTGCCGACCACCCTCGCACCAACGACGCCGTATCCCGTGTCTCTTTTCGTACAGCGCCTTCGCGGCAGCACGGGCAGTCTCCAAGTCGAGTACGCGATTGCGCCCGTTCCAACCTCGACCCGGCCCAAGTGCCCATTCCTGGCATTGATTTTTCCCTACCGACATTTCCTGGCGGCAATGTGCTTTTCTGGGCCGATGGCGACGCGACACCCAAGACGATCATGTTGAGTGTCTTCAACTCGGCGATCTATCGCAGTGCAAAACAGCTGTCTCTGCAGCTGCTGCGCCCAAGTGGCGGCGCATTGCTCGCATCGCCATCGACGATGCTCTTGACGGTTCTGGGCACCAACCAAGGTAGCACTCCAGCAAATCCAACCATCGTGTCACAACGACGTCTGTAGCGGTGCCGGCGGGTGTCTTTCAGTTGGACGCGCCGTGTTTTTCGATTTGTGCGGCGACGACGTACTCTGTCTACGAAGGCGGTGCAGTTCGGGTGCATGTCGAGCGACGCAACGGCACGGTCGGCGCCGTCTCGGTGCAGTACGCAGCGACGCCCGATGCCAGCACCAACACGATGGCGACATCGGACTTTGTGCCTCAGCAAGGTTTCTTATCAAATTGAAGGTCTAGAGTAACCGTGCACTAGGCACCTTGAGCTGGCAAGACGGCGACAGCGCCAGCCAGAGCTTTGTCGTGCAAACGCAAGCTTCGCCACACACGCAAAAGAGCGTGGTTGTGACCTTGACCAACCCCACTGGCGGCGCCTCGCTGTCGCCTGTCGCTAGCAGCACCAGGATTTCCGTCCTGTCGCTTCCCTTTGCACCCTCTTTGGGTTAGCAACGTGTATCTGAATTCCCACCAGCACTAAATGTGTTGTAGGTGGGGAAGTCAACGTGGTCACCGTACCAGCCCTCCAAATAGCGCTGAGCGGTATGCCCATGGCTAGTGACCAGCTGCTCGAGGCGCAAATCCCAGAGTACCAGTCTGGGATTGGCCCTACCGCACCGTGGGTTCTGACACAGGCAGGCACGTATACGTTCACCGTACGTTATCTGCCTTTTCAGACAAGACTTGAGACGAAGCTAGGTGCGTCGGTCACGAGGGAGTGTCGGTGCCGCCGCCGTTTACGTTCAAACCGTGGGTCAGACCGCGCAGCCAGACGTCGACTTTGTCAGCGTCGGACAACTACTCTCGTGGCAGGACAATGACGCGCGCGACGTCACCGTGTCGCTAACGATCCTGTCGCCTCCCTACACGATCTTCAGCGGCACTGCGTCGCCACCGCGCACTCTGTCGATCATCTTGTCAAACCCGCAGTCAGTGGTGCTCGGACCCTCGGCGCAGTACTCGGTACCTTGTGGTTGCATGCGCCATCATCTCACATAGGGCTAGGTGCAACTGCAGGCGACGGCACAAGGTAGGAGAGGTTGCCGAGGGAGCCACCCGTGTCAACCCGCTGCTAGTTCCGACGCTGGTCGGCGCACGAATGGACATGACGGCCCGCTCTTTAACGCTACAGTACTCGAGCCCTGTACTCGCGCCCACTGCCAACGTGGCGACACTGAGCCTTGCAGCCTCCACAGAACGTTACACCCTGAGCGCGTCTTCGACCGTGGTGCCTAGCCCTGACCCGACGCTGGTAGCATTCCGGCTCGAACGTCGTGTTGACAGATGACGTAGGTGTGCATCCAGCTGGCTCCCAACGACGTCAACGCGCTTCAGAAAGCAGGCATCGCAGCATCAATCGTGACAACGAACATTGTATATTCCCCAGGATTTGTGCAATACCCTACATTCAACTGCGCTTCAACGTCACTTCACGGCTGTGTGGTCCGCCCGCTGCCGGCTCAGACGTTCTTTCCGGTATGTATCCTTGGTAGAAACGACCCGAGGCTTTTGGGGTCCTAGGCAACAGCGTTTGTCGGCGACACGCTGGCTCCGTCGCTGCTACGATTCGTATATGACGGCCAGTACCTCCAACTTCGGTTCTCCAAGGTCGTAAACCCCTCCTCGGTGGTGCCGTCGCAGCTGCAGCTCTGCGACAGCTTGGCACGTTCTGCCTGCACGTCGCTCTCGACCGCAAGCTATGTTGTTGCAGGTCACTTGATCAGGAATATGCTTCGTATGACATTGGCGGATGTAGGCACGCGGTCGCTGGGCAGTCTGGTGGCGCTACCTCCGGCACCGAGTGACGGCACGCTCGTCACCATCTTTGTCGCGCCGATTGACAAGGCGCAGATCGATGCCACCGGTCTCACTGGCCGATCGCCAGCGACCACCGTTCTTGTCGTGACCAACCAGATCGCCGACATCTTGCGGCACTCGCTCATGCCACCGTATTTCATGAGTGCGGTGGGTACGCCCGACTGCTCATCGTGTCCGGCCAACTCGTACCTCTCGGCGCGCTGCTCCGACACGCAAAGTCGCGCGTGTCTGCCGTGTACGGTCTGCGCGGCCGATCACTTTGCCAAGACGACGTGCTCGCCGACCCACGACACTGTCTGCCAGCGTACTACACCTTCCTCGATCGCCGAGGGTATTTACACTGTACATAGGGTGTACGCAGTGCCAGCGCGAAACGTTTGCGTCGACCAAGTGCTCTCCGAAAAGAGATCGCGAGTGCAGCGCCTGCACCCTGTGCACCACGGACGAGTACGAGGCGGCGCCGTGCACGACGGAAGCCAACCGCGTCTGTCGTACGTGCAACTCGTGCTCGCTGACGCCGGCCCAAAAACCTTGTGCTCTCAAAGTGTGTCGTGGGAGCGCCGGCAGCAGTCGCCGTTTGGGTACAAGGCCATTTCGAGTTGATAAATTGACATTTTTATAATAGGTGTCCGACGCCGAACCAGCAGTGGAAGACGAGGGAAGAGCAGCTGCAGTCATACAAGTCGAACGCGTGTGGTGCGGGGCGCTGCTCTTGCACGGGCCATGGCATTGGCAACAACAACCCCTTGGGACTGGCCTTCCCAGACGACCCTCGCTGCACAGGCCCCGAGACGTACGGAATTCGTCTTTAACGTGACATGTGGTTGTGATGCTGATCCAACACAATGCCTTTCGAGCGCCTGTGCGAGGAGGGTGAATCGTTGCGTCGTGTCGAAGTATTCGGGCAATATCCGGACGCCAATAGTCTGAAATGGGCGACACGACGGCGAGCTGCGACGATTTCGGCGCAGCGCGCGCGTCATTTTGCGGTATCGAGCCTGACGGATAAAACCTCGAGCACCTCATGCATGACGTCCTGTTGCTTGCACATGGCGGCCCGAGACCACTTGCAGCACAGCACAACATACCGCCCGCCGCGAACCTCTCGCTCAACGTCACCTCTGATCCGCTCTCTGCTCGAGGTAGCAAGCGATCGAGACAGCTCGCTCGTAACGTCCGCGTAGGCCGTGCGTCTTCATGGCTCTGAGCTTTCTGCCTTTTGCTCCACCACGCCGCGACTTCCTGAAATCGTTTGGACACCGCCACGCTTCTTGCAACATTTGCCAGCCTCAACGTCGCGACGTCAAAGATGTTGAAGCCGATTGCATACAGTACATGCCCAACCACGAGACGAAAAGACCTGCGCCAGCTCGCGCGTCCGTTCGAGAAGCTCAAAGCCCTCGATACGATCGCGTCCAAGGTCAGCCATTGGCCCAGGCCGACGCTCTCGCCTACCTTCGGGTTGCGAACAGCCTCCCGGCCCTTGCTGTTGACTTCCCACAGGCCGCGCTGCTCCGCCAGGAGCTCGACATGCTTGTACCCGCCACGCCCGCGCTCAGGACTCGTGCGGAATGAACGTTCTGGTTTAACCTCGTCTGAACCGACCCGAAAGCATCAAGAGTACATTTTAATTGCACCACAAACGAGGCTATTCATCTGCTACTCAACTTTTTGGATGTAGTGCTTCAATTCAATGAATAGTCTATGGTCTACACTTGTTTTCGGGAACGAATTCGCTTTTGGCGACGATAAGGCCTTCGTTGAAAGTTTGATACCGGTACTCACAGACATATCAGGTATCCGAATACATAACAGTATATTATGCTGATAGAGGATTGTAAATAGTGTGGGTGCCACCATTCCTAATACGATCGACGCCGCACAGACGCGTTAACGCGAGGCCGTACCGGTTCCTGTCGTTCTATAGCATCCTGATATCGTGGAGATGAAGGTTTGGACGCCGAACGCAGCGCATGCATGCGAATTCCAACATTGAATGTTCGAGGTGGTCAAATAGACGCCCAGATGCACAACGTGTTTTCGCGCAGTTCAAAAACTCGACTAACTCCGACGCGGGCAGTCACAGTTGGCTATGTATATGGAGTGGCCCAGCGACTTGCGTTTGGGACGTGGTAGGCGCTTGGGCTCTCACAGCAAAGTCGTACTGTCAAGCGTCGTTTTTCGCCGACTTGTACATTGAAATTCGAGTAAAAATGCTGAATTTTCGAAAAATCCGAGAGCGCTATCTCTTTTAGATGGTATCGGAGAGCATGTAACGTTGATAAAGGTGGTTCTAGACTCCGCCACGGCGCCGCTAGCATTTTAATATACTATTTGCATTCGTACACTATACCGGGAAATATTGGCTTCAAATAGTATGATCAATATATCGCCAAGAGCTCTCGCCGCAGAGCTCGAACAGTGACGACATATAGCGTTTCGTACTCTCCAAAGTGTCCTCTATTACCAAGCCAAGTATGAGCGCTTTCGTTTTTAATCATGAATTGTGCTTCATCTCTCACCGCCGCTAGCGTGTGGCGTCTAAATGTGTCTATTTTTGGTTGTTTACGGCATATACCAAGATTAAGGCTGATAGCGCTGTTGCCTCGTACTACAATTGTAGTACGGCGATGCTACATCAAATCTTGGTCATTGGTGTGGTTCATTGACGACTGTAGCGTCCAAGTTGGTGTGCTGTGCTGTACGATCTGCAAGGTATCTAATTACAGGACCTTCTTCCTACCGCGGAACGCTGTAAAGCGTCTCTCCGTAAATTCGCTTTGTTCTCTCGGGCCGACAGGGCAATGAAAGTTCTGGGGCGATGTCGAGCACTGGACGATAGCCGATACCAAACGTCTTGATTAGGCACATTCCGGCAAACAGGCCGACGCGGTAAAGACTATCGTCGATGCGCTGTGAGCTGCCGTTTGAAGGCGCAGAGACATGGCGTTCGATCCAGAAGAACGGGTCTTATCCGGACCGCATAAAAATTCGTCACGGTCAAGCTAAATATCTGCCCAGGCCCAATACTTCACGAGGCCTGGCTCTGCCGATCTTCATGATGGCCAATATCGGCGGACGTTGAAAAGGATCCCAGCATTTTCCAATATTTCTTACATTTTGGCCATGCACCGCGACGGCAGGCGTGAGGCTTGTCGACCCGAAATCGAAACTTTTGCAACCTTCTCAAATCGCTGAGATATTTTCAGGGACGCTTTCTCTAGCTCGAGAGAGGCTGTGTGCCGACGATCGTGGCAATTAAAGGCCTGCAAGCATTTGTTTTGAACTCGCCAACAATTGCTGTTTATTCCAACATAATTCATCTAGATATTCAACGCGAGCCAATACATGGCGCTTTGAGCCTTCATAATTCTAGACGGACGTGTCCTTGGCCACTGAAATGATCCCAGCGTTGCGGCTTCGCGCATAGAGCGTGGTTTCGAAAATGCAATTTTATTCCAATCAATTCATTGCAAAATCACACAGTGCGATACTGGCGTGCGCAAGTTGACAACCCAAAATATATGACAGTAGTTTGTTTTTTATGTGTACATGTAGTAGCCGTGCGTTAGCGCCGGATGAGCGTCTTGAGTCGGCGCTGCGCGACGGCCTTGCTCTCGCCCGCTCGCGTCGAAGCTGCTTGGGGCGACTTGAGGAAGACGACGAGGACTTGGCTTTCTTTGTCTCCTTATGCTTCGTGTTCGTCGGGTTGCCGGCAAAGTCGAGCGCGTCGGCTTCCTGCGTATCGTTCGCGGCAGCCATGAGCGCCTTGAGTCGGCCCACCACCGCAATCATGGTGTCGGCGTTCGCTGCACGTGGCGCCTCGATGCGTCGTTGTCGACTTGGCTCAGCTGGATTGCGAGGGCGGCTTGCGTCGACCTATCTGAAAGTGGACTGGAATCAGCGCGCCGCCGAGGGCGATGCCTTCGTCGGTGTACTTCTTGATGCTGGCGCAAAGAGGTCGATCGCCAGCGGCGTCGGCTTGATCTTCTTGAGCGCCTCGACGTGGCCGTCGAGGCTTCGCTTGAAAGGCAGCGCGCTCTGCCTCTTCGTGCAGCCGCTCGTCGCGCCGGACCTTCCCGATATTTCCACACCACCTCTTGTGCTTGCGGATGCGCAGCCCGGCTCGTTTGGAACTCGATCTGGAAAGGATGCTGGCGAATGTACCATAAATGTTGCAATCTAAAATTTTATGGACACGACGCGAGAGAGAAGAGGAGGAAGGAAACAGGTGCAGCCACTGGGAAACCGGGCACTCGTTGTAAGGTAAAGCTGCTACACACCAGCACTGCGCTCTCGTGGGGATGCTTTATTGGCTCAATTCTTGATTCTTTCTAGCCAATCACAAGACTTGATTCACCCGTCTTAAATAGTGTGAGCACCATTCAGCACAACGACGAGTAGCAGCCCACAGACGCGCCAGCGCCACGTAGCGGCCGTGTGTACATCTCCACACCCTTTTTGAACGACGTACATGTCGTTTCCGACGCTGCACGTGGCGCAAATACGCGCAAATCCATTTTCCATTTTTCGAGGTGGCGGCAGAATTGCCCAAATACTTCACGTGACATCGCGGAGTTCCAAAGCTCCAAGGACCGTAAGACTGGCTGCCACAGTTGACGATGGATCTCGAACTGGTTTGCGACCAGTTTGTTTTGCGCCGTCGTTGCTTGGGCGCTCACACCAAACTCGAACTGCCGAGCGTCGGTTTTTACGAAACTCGACATGCAAAATCGGTTGAAAATTCGTCGAAATCACGGAAACCGAGGACGTCGTCTCTTTCTGTTCATGTTAAAGTGCGTGTTGCATGTGGCTGAGGGAGGCAAAGTGCGCGCTGTACCGCTGCGTGATAAGGCCTCGTATCTTGTACAGTATTTCAGTATAGCCAAAAATCACACTATATCAAAATATTGTTTGCCGCTGTCATTTTGCTCTCGCTACAGAGCTCACACGGCGACGCCACATGGCATTTTGGACTCCCCTAATTGTGGTCGAGCACTCTGGCAAGTATGGGCGATTTCATTTTCAAACTTTATTCTGGTCGAGTCCGCGGGCGCGGCGGCCTTGGCCGCACGGCAGGGCGGTCGCAAGCGGGCGTCCTGTCGACTGTGGACGGTGAAACTCGTGTGGACGATGTCCTTCTTTCGTCACGCATCGCTTTAATGCAGGGCATTGGTTCACCAGCTAAGGGCGTGCAAAAATCACAGCGTCCTCATGCAGCGTGCGTACGCTTCTCGTCGAGGACCGATGTCTCACCAAGCACGATTAGTGGTACCAGCACCATTTCGAGCAGCGTCGCAGCCATTGAGCGTCGGCGCTTGTACCGACGCAGGTGTACATCGTACACAGGCGCGAAAGAGGCTCGCGGAGGTGTCAATCCAGTGTCGGGACGTGTAGCTGCTGGCGTCGGTGCAGCGCTGGTCGCAGCCATCGGCGTCGTAGCGGTAGAAAGGCCATTGCTTCCACGTTAGCGCGCTGCGAGGTATATAGTCGATGCGCCGAGACAAACGCCGACAGCGACAACCTCGAGCCTGTGCGAAGCGTGCGGACGATGGGATCGAACTCGTCGCGTCGTTTCGAGGTATCCGGAAATGTTCCGGATACCAAAACCCAGTGCAAATTCCAAAATGGTCAGCACGGCGTCAAGCCACGTCGCAGTAGGCGCGTCCCTATCCTGCGCGCGGGCCTCGACCCGATGAGCCCCGCCGGCATGCGCCAAGGCGTCTGCCTCGAACTCGCCGAGGTCATCCAGTGCTCCCTCAAGAGACAACTCGACGATTCTGTTGAGTCGCTTGTCGTTGCGGTCGAAGACGTACTTTGCGACGCGCCGCCCGAGGTCCGCCACGCGGCCGGTGGTGCGTTCGATGTCTTCCACAAGAGCATGGGCTACCGCTCGTTTGACGACCTCATCCCTCGCCTCTTCTAGCGTATCACGTCGGTGGACGACCTCGTCCAAGAGCGCGCTCTTGCTGGCCTCTATAGGTGGTCAAGGTCAAGTCGCGCGAGGTGCTTCCGTACCTCGTGCCGCGCCTGCTCACGACGCCGATGGCCTTGTCCTACGTCCAAGCCATCACGCGCACTGCGTCCGTCTCGGGTGCTGCACTACCACATCGACCGCAGCCTTCAAGCGCTCTTTAACAACACCGTTTCGGTCGTCACGAGCCGCCCGGACGACGATAGGGTGGCAGCGATCCAGCACTCGGTGCGTGCGGTTGCGTTGAGTGTCGAGGCGGCCGGTGTCCAGTGGCTTGCCGCTGAGATTTGCAAGTACTGCGAAACCAACATTGCCGAGACGCGGTATCTTGCGTGCTGGCTCATCGCAGCCTTGTCCCAGTCGGCGACTGTCTCGTACGTCGAGTAAGTCCCGATCTTTCTCAAGTATGTCCTCGCGCGCTTCAATGGCAGCGACGTGTCGGTCGTCGAGGCTGCTCTCTTGGCGTTTAGCAGCCGAAACACGACAATCAGGCCTGACGAGCTCGCCAAGCACATCGACTTTTTTTGCAACAACCTCAGCTCGATTTCAGTGACGCGCGCCATCGCAAGGGCGGTGTTGGTGCCACAGATCTCTCTTTCTTGCCGGCGCTTGCGCTGTCCAAGACCCTTTCCTGCCGACCTACCAGCAACCGCTCATGAACGGTACGCCCAAAGCGCGCCAGTTCGCTGCGGCTGGCCTCGACGAACTTGTGCGGCTGGCGTCGCCCGCGTGCCTCAAAGCGTTCTCGCCAATATCACAGGTCCGCTCATCCGTTCTTGCCGCGGCTGCAGACGACATTCGTCACGGCACGAGCGCGTCTGTGCGTGCAGTGGCCCGGCCTTTGTCCACCTCGTCGCGCTTTCGCCCCGTATCGACCCGCTCATTACCGAGCTCACGGCCAAGATTGCGTCGACGAAGGCGGCATCTTGGAGGCCAAACTTGACGCGATCTTGCGATTCTCACCCGCGTCGGCGCCAAGGTCTCGGCATCGGCAGTGCTCGCGCTGGAAGACGTCCTTCGCAGTTACCTCGTCTCACGAACGATGACCTCCTCCGTGCGCGCGAGCAACGACCTTGCCCTCTCGCTCGGCGGCGAAGATCATAGTGGAAGAACGAACATAGTCTTACGATGGTCGAGGAGCTGGACCCTTCTCCACTCGGCGGCGCTGGTAGCATCGGGCTTGCTCAACCTCTCGCCGGTGCCAACGTGAGTAGCCACCACGCTTGCGGTGCCTGCCATCCCGACGCTTGTGGCGCTCGCCCGCGACGAGAACCTGCTCGTCAAGTCGTCGAGCCTCACAGCGCTTAGCCTCGCGGTCAAGGTCGTGTCTCGGTGGACGTTGTCCAGGCGCTCGTTACGGGGTTCTCGGACACCGCCAACAAGGTCGTCAACCGCACGGCTCTGCGCATCGTCAAGCGCATGGCCAAGGTCGTCCCGAAGCATGTGCGCCAGCACTCGGGCACGCTCGTGCCGCCGATTTTTGCGCTCATCAAGAGCCCAACATCAACATCAAGCTCGGTGCCGAGAGCGCGCTCTTATACGTGCTCAAGAGATACGCCCTAGACGCTCTCGGAATACCGCGCAAGCGCCGAGCAAGGCAAGCTCCTCGCCGAGTACGGCCGCCATGTTCTCTCCAAGCTCAAGGTCAACGGAGACGACAGCGACAACGAAGGCGTCGAGTAGAAACAATTGCGTTCTAGCTGCCTATAAACACCATTTGATAGTCATGCCCAATTTCGCTCGTATACTCTCAGGTGGCACACCGAGCTTGTCGAGCTTTCCGTTGTGTGTAGTATTTTCTTCGAAATGGCATATGCCACATATAATACCGACATGACGCCGCAAATAGTACAATTCGGCATATCGAGGCACCAGGGTTTCTAGCGCTGTTGATCGCGCGCGATGGTGTACTGGTGTGGGTCCTAAAAAGACGATCCTGCCGACTTCGGGCTGTAGCATTTGTCCATAGTGAGTGGCGCGACATCTTGAAGCATCTTCAGGTCGACCACTTTGCGTTCAGAAACGAAATGGCCCAGACTTGGCACAGTGGTAGAGGACGCTTTGGACAGCATGGAAAGCGAGACCGCGTCGACGTCCGAGGCGTACAGCGGTAGCGAGACGCGATCCAAGATGCGTACCAAACTAAGATCGTAGTACCATCTGAGAGGCACTACTCCGTCAAACTAAGATCGTAGTGCCACCTTATAGCCGCCGCGGCAAGGCGTCGACGCCACTTGTCGACAACATCGAGTTTGAAATGGAATCGCCCATAGTTGGCACATTGATAGAATACACTTTGGAGAGCAGAGCAGACCACGCTACGTAGCCGCTACAGTCGCACAGCGCGCGCAATGCCAGATCGAAGATACAAAGCGCTAAAAAAACAAGCAAATGACCGCATTGGCACGCCATCGTCTTGTCTTCTAGACTTGTAGTAACGACGAGCGCCCCTTTCACCGTATCGATATTCATGGCAACAGTACGTCCAAAGCCATCGCATGCTGTGGAGCGATTGCAACGAGAGGCTTAGAGCTTACCATG